TGGTTGAAACCAGTGTCTGGCACGGTAGCTGAGACTTAGGATCATGACTGCCTCCACCTTGAGCCCTGATCTGGGCAAGGGGTCTTTCCCCTGATTCCCACGGCACTGCAGCCCCTTCCCCAGGAGCAGCTGTCCTGGTGCTCCCAGGGCTGAGCGTGGAGCTGCCTGGCCCCTCCTTGGCCTGCTCCTGGGCGGCCTCACAGGCACTGATGGGCACGGAGACAGACCTGACCAGCTCGCCAGCTCGCCCAGAAGGGCACTCCAGCCACCGTCCCACCTCCCATCCCAGCCAAAGCCAAGAGCTGCTGCCCCACACCCGCTCCACCCCACTCCTTCCTGTTCATAGACTCTCACAGCGTTGACCCTGGCCCAGGTCTTCCCAGGAACGCAACCATGACAGGCCACTGCCCAGGCTGGGGCCGGGGAGGACGGGTCCGCTTTCCCGCGCCCATGGGGCTTGGCATGGAGCCTGCCCTGGGGCTGCTGTCCTCCCCAGGGAGCTGTGTGTCCCTGGCTAAGCCATGTCCAGGACAGGGCCTGCTCTGTCAGGCCTCAGGGCCTGGGGCATGGTAGATTGGGCCAGGAATGGATGGCTGGGGTCCAGCTCCTGGTGACCACACAGTGACCCGGCTGGATTCACACTCCCTGTCATAGATATATTTTTTTAAGGATTTATTTGTTTATTGCAAAATCAGACATATATAGAGAGGAGGAGAGACAGAGAGGAGGACGTTCCGTCCACTGATTCACTCTCCAAGTGACTGCAAAGGTCAGAACTGTGCTGATCTGAAGCCAGGATCCAGGAGCTCTTCCGGGTCTCCCAAGCAGGTGCAGGGTCCCAAGGCTTTGGGCTGTCCTCGACTGCTTTCCCCTGCCACAGGCAGGGAGCTGGATGGGAAGTGGAGCTGCAAGGATTAGAACTGGTGCCCATATGGGATCCTGGTGTGCAAGGTGAGGACTTTAGCTGCTAGGCTGCTGCACCGGGCCCCTCACACATCTTACAAAATGGTGTGTTGGAGTGAATATGCATCTGAACATGGGTGTATGCTCAGTCTCACACACACACACACACACACACACACACACACACACACACACACACACACAGAACCACTTCATGGCTCACGCAGTATATGGGGGAAAGGGATGAAGGTGAACTGAGGCAGGTATTGGGGGTGCGCTCGTGAGCAGGGTGGGGGGCCGGCTCACCAGCCTGTCCCAAGCCTGCCAGAGATGCCCTTGGCCAGGAAGGCCTGGGCAGTGGCTGTGTGGCCATCCCAGCTGGCCTGCTTGGCGGGGCCTGACCCGGGTGCCTGCTGTGTCCCTCGCTGGAGCTGTGGGGTGACCTGGGGAGCCCGGGAGCCCCCGTCGGTCTGCACGGGTCACTCCGCTTGGACTTAACTCCAGCCGGTCCTCAGTCAGCATGTGTTGTTATGGCAACGTGTCTGGTGACACACACAGCACTGCATCTGCCTGGTTCTGGTGGGGGCCTTGGGGTGGTAGAAGCATGCGTGTGTGTGCGTGCGTGTGTGTGTGTGTGTAAGACAGACACACACAGGAAGGGTTCTGTGAGAGCCCGGCTGTCTTTACACAGCCCAGCAGAGACAAGTTACTGTACCCACCTAGCCCTTCCCAGGCCCCGCCCCCATCACCTGCCGCCAGGCCCTGCCCCTTAAAGTGCGGCAGCGCAGGGCACAGGGCACAGACTGCAGGTGGTCAGGGCTGCTTCCTGGAACAGACTGTCTCAGCCGGCTGCCGCCCCCTCCCGGGCACCCACCCACCTCATGCCAGACTCCCATGGGCACCTCCCTGATGTCCCTGGCACCCTGGCCTTGGGACTGTGTCCTTGACCATCCCCCGGCTGGGCTCTGCTCAGCTGCTCTCCCACTGGGGCCTCGGCCTTGGCCTACCAAGCCGAGGGCAGAGCCCAGCTGACTCGGGCCGCACGCCCAGGCTCCCGCGTGCAGTGCGTGCCTGTGGGCCCTGGTGGGTGCGTGGGAAGGCAGGGGTCCGGGCTAGCTGCTTGTCACTCCCGCACCTCCTTGGAGCCCTGCCCGCCTCCTTCTCCCTTGCAGCGGCTCTGTGGGCACTTGGCCTGGTGGAGTCGGGGTTCTACAGGCCTGGTTGGCCTCTGTCTGGATGCACTCCCAGCTCCTGGACACCATGCCAGTGGCCGTGGGCATGGCAGGTGCCAACTGAGTATTTCACTGACGGGGGATTCCTAGCACTGCCAGGACAGCAGAGGCCGGGCTTGGGGGAGGGGTAGGAAGCCTCCCATAAAGCCCCCCACCCCCTCCATTGTTCAACAGCATGGGGGTCCATGGGCAAGGCATGGCGGGAGGCCAGCTGTGTGTGCCTGCAAAGGGGGCAGGGAACGCCTTGGCTCCTGGGCCATGAACTGGGGTGCAAGCAGCAGTGTCCTGCCTGGGGTGCCCTGGCTGGCCAGGGTCTTTGGTGATGTCCATTTGATTTCTGGATACCTGCTTGAGGTGATGGTGTCCGCACATGGGCCTGCAGGAGAACTCAGCTAGGTGGCCATGGTCCGGGCCTCAGACCTTGTGAAGCCACTTGCCACTTGTGGAGCTTCCATGGCAGCCCCACCTGGCCCTGCAAAGCTGGCACTGGTGCCGCCAGGGGAGGGGAGCAGGGCGAAAGGGTCAAGGCCAGGCCAGGAGGGGATGCCCCGTGTGAGCTGGCCCCGCAGCAGGGCCGGCCTGGGTGCCAGGGCCAAGGTGGTGGAGGGAGGCCGGTGGGTGTAACAGCCTTCCACCAAAGGGACAAGCAGAGGCCTCAGAGGCAGGTGGCCGGCACTGACTCCCTGCCCTTGGCCCCCCGAGGCCTGTGCCCAACCCCACCTCCTCCCCCAGACATAATCCGAGCCCGTGCAGGAGTCAGGCCCTCTGTTGCCATAACAACTGGATCCGACAGTAAAAATAGCAACTTATTTTTTATGCAACTTTTTGCTCCTGGAGAAAAAAGAAAATCCAGTTGTTGCAGGCTTGTGTTTCACTTTGGGGGGTGTCCTCCTGGGGCCTGGCCGTCAGCGGCACCTGTGGTACGGTGCTGACCTCCTGTCCACCCACAGTGTGAACCCTGACCTCACACGTACCATCTTCCTGCCCATCTCCTCTGCCTCCTCCCCCAGGGGCATCAGTGCCCACGCCGTGTGGCCAGTAAGCCCCTTCCTCCCTCATCTGTTCCCCTCTCTGACTTTTTTTTTTGAACTATTTTATTTTTATTGGAAAAACAAGTTTACAGAGGAAAGGAGAGACAGAGAAAGATCTTCCATCCACTGATTCACTCCTCAAGTGGCTGCAATGGTCAGAGCTGAGCTGATCTGAAGCCAGGAGCCAGGAGCCTCTTCCGAGTCTCCCACGCGGGTGCAGGGTCCCAAGGCTTTGGGCCGTCCTCGACTGCTTTCCCAGGCCACAAGCAGGGAGCTGATGGGAAGTGGAGCAGCTGGGACAGACATAGCATTAGACTGTTGAGGCATCATGCTGGCTCCCTGCCTCTTGCTTTATTTTTACGATTTATTTCCTTGAAAGGCGAGGTTACAGAGAGAAGGACAGATCTTCCCTCTGCCGGTTCGCTCTCCCGATGGCAGGCCAGCAGAAGCCAGGAGTTTCCTCCGGCCTCCGGTGCAGGTGCAGGGACCCAGGTGCTTGGTGGCCTCTGCTGCCTTCCCAGCTCCGTTAGCAGGGAGCAGGGCAGGACCCGGTGCCGCCTTCACAGGTTGGAGCTGTACCGGCTGGCAACCCCTGCCAACCGCCCTCTGGCTTCTAATTTGTGCACAGGATTTGGTGGGCGACACCTCAGGGGACCCCTGGCCCCACTTCTTGTTCCCACCCCCAGCAGCCTACACCCCCACTGCACCTCATGACTGCTGCAGGCGACCTCAGCACACAGCACCAGGGGAAGGCATGTGCGCCCAGCTCTGGGGCGAATTAAGTGAACCAGGTGGGTCTTTGTCTTCCCTGGCTTGCTCCAGCTCCCTTGGGACAGGAGGGTGTGTGTGTGAGTGTGTGTGTGTGTGTGTGTTCCCCAGGCTTACCCTTGCACACAAGGGGGTGGCTGGAGAGAAGAGGCTTTGGCCCCTCCCTCCCACCTCTACCCCATGGTGATGGTAAGGCCGCTCCCACACAAAGGCCACTTTGGGGGTGACCTCCAGCGGCAGGTCCCCCAGAGCAAAAAAAGTACGATTCTGGGGCAGGGGAGCTGATGGCCAACCCTGGGGCCATTGGAGCCCCACTTCGTAAAAGAGGGTACCTGGACCCGGCGCGGTAGCCTAGTGGATAAAGTCCTCGCCTTGTACGCGTCGGGATCCCATTTGGGCACCGGTTCACATCCCAGATCCCAGCTGTTCCACTTCCCATCCAGCTCCCTGCTTGTGGTCTGGGAAAGCAGTCGAGGGCGGCCCAGAGCCTTGGGACCCTGCATCTGCATGGGAGACCTGGAAGATCTGGCTTCTTTCTCCCTCTCTCTCTGTAAATCTGACTTTCTAATAAGAATTAAAAAAAAAAAAAAAAAAAAGCGGGAGGGGGGTCCCGGGACTGGGTCCTCCAGGGACAGCGTGTCCTTTCACGGACGGTTCGCGTGGGGGGCTTTCGGGGCTGGCGCAGAGCCAGGGCAGGTGCGCCCAGCCCAGGCACTCTAAGGCCAGGGAGACCACAGGGAGGACGGGGCGTGGGGGGGAAAGGCGCGGGTTTCTGAGGCCACCCGTGTAACCAGACCCCCTCCCGGCTGGCGCTTCCCACAGGGCCGCGGGAGGGGCCGGGCCGGGCCAGGGTGATTGGCAGCGGCCCCGTCCCCCGCGCGCCGCCCCCGCCACCATCTGCTCGGGATTTGGCTTCGCCGGCTCTCGGCGCTTCCAGCTCCGGCTCTGCTCGGGCTCGGGCTCCGGGCGCCACCGGGTGGGTCTGCTCGGCCGCGCCTCCAACCTGCTGCTCTGCGTCCCGAGCGCCGGCTCCCGCGCGCCCAGCCCGCGCTGGGCGCTGATGGAAACGGCGCGATGTTCGCTCCCCGGCTACTCGATTTTCAGAAGACCAAGTACGCGAGGTGAGAGGTGCGCGGGGTCCCCGGGAGGGGGTGGGGAAGCTCAGCGTGGGGACCTCGAGCTCAGGAATGGACCCCTTAGCCAGACCAGGAAAGCCCGCCCGCCCGCCTGTGGACTCCAGGCAGCATTCGTACCAAGCTTGGTCTCAGGACGCGGGAGCCGTGGGCAGCGGCGCCCCGTCTTAGTGGGGTGCCCGTGGGCGAGCCCCCTCGCCTCTCTGGACCTTACTTTGCACATGTGGAAACAGGGATCCCGAGCGTTCCCACGGCCAGGGTCCCCTTGGGGAGCAGGTGCCACCTTGCATGGTCCCCATGAGACCACCTTGTCATCGCTCGGCTCTGGGGTGCTGTCGTCTGTGACCGATTGGGGGTGGGGGCTTGGGGCAGCCTCTGTCAGTCTCCCCAGCTTGTCCGAGGAGCCCACGAGTGGTGAAACTCCAGGGTTCAGGGTGTGGGGCGAGCTGTACGTGCAACCTGGTCCTTAAACAAAAGCAAAACTTTTCTACCTTAAAAAAAAAAAATCACTTTTCTCTGGAAACACAAAATGAGACACAATTTTCATGGGCTGGGTCGTTCCCCAGATGCTTGGACCAGAGCGGGAGGCGGGAGCCAGGAGCCGGGAGCTCAGAGCAGCTATCCACATGGTTGAGCTGGCACCTGCTCCTCCCAGAACACCTGTTAGCAGGCTGAGGGGAGCCCAGTAAGGTGGTCAGGCGGGGGGCCCAACTCCCAGGATTGGAAACAGAGGTTCGCAGATACTAGAAGTGCTGGTATTCTGTTGGGCAAGAAGGGGGAGGGGCTGTGGCCTTGCCTGAAAACTGGTGTAAAAGTGTGCTCCGGGGTGGCCTCCCAGCGCCCCCACCCCAGCTTAGCAGGGGGTGCAGGCTGCGGCAGGTGCGCACAGCCCCTGTGTGGGTGGGAGGGTGGCGTCCAGGCGGCTGTGTGGGCGTGGTTCTCCATGTCCACCTCGCTGCGGCTCATTGCCTCCAAACTAGGGCTCCGGTGTCCCTGCTGCCCACAGGGAGGGCAGGCATCTGGACTTCACATGGCGTCCTGGGTGGGAGGGGGTGGGGGCAGCCTTAAGGATGAAGTCGCTGCCTCGGTTCCTGTCTCAGTTGGGTGGTGGGAGGTGCTGGCTGCTGCGGCCTGGCTCCTCTGGAGTGTGGCCGGGGGCCTGGCCGTCCCAGGCTGCCTCGCAGGGGTCCTGCATGTGCTGTAGTGAAGCTCATGGCTGCTGTGTTTACTCGGAACAAAGAGGATGGGGTTGTGGCTGCAGGTATGCAGAGAGGGCTGGGAGTTTTGACGGCCCTTGCCCGTGTTCCAGGCCCTTGCCAGTGCCCCAGGCCCTTGCCCGTGCCCCAGGCCCTTGCCCGTGCCCCACCTGCTGTGTGACAACCACCCCTTCCTAGAGTTAGCCTGTGCTGCAGCCGGGGGGTCGGGGCTGGATGGTGTCCGTGCCTTGTGGGTCCGGGGGGCAGTGGCCCGTGTCCACTAGAAGGCTGGTGCAGCCCTGACTGGTCTGTGCATTGGGTCCTTTGTAAAGGCGTGGTGTGGAACCGGATGGATGCTGTGGTTTGGCGCTGGCCATGCCGCGGCTGTCCGAGGCTCCAGTCCCGGTGTTTCACCTCGTCCTGTAAGAAGGTGGAAGCAAACTGGAAAGTCGTGATGAGCGCGTGTTTTAGACTTCATGGCCAGAGCGCTTTGCTTTTCAACATGGGCTCAAGGTGAACGAATTATGCATGGGGTATTTTGTGTTTGTTTTTATTTCAACTCGTTAAAAAAAAAAAAAGACTTATTTGAAATTTGGTTAGGGAAAGAGAGAGAGAATCTTCCATCTGCTGGTTCACTCCCTGAATGGCCACAATGGCTGGAGCTGGACCAAACCAATGCCAGGAGCCAGGGGCTCCATCTGGGTCTCCCACATGCCTGGCAGAGGCCCAGCTTTGGTCTGCAGTAACAGGCAGCTGGCATTCGAGCACACACCTGCAAGCGGCCTGCAGGCACACACACACATATATATATACATTTAAAATCCCTGTTTTCCCTTTGTTCTCGGAACATATGGTGGAATTCACTCCCGGTTTTGCCCACTTCTTTCCTGCCTCCCATGGCGGTAATGCCAGCTGACTATACCCTGGCAGGGGTTTGTATTCAAACTGGGCATTGTGCTTGCCCACGCAGGGGCAGGGATGGGCAGGCCTCTTGGAACACATTGTCTGTGGGCCCACCTCGTTCATTCTTTCACCGCCTAGCTGCCCCCGGCGTTGTGGAGCTGGAGCGCATGTACAAGCCCACAGCTGTATGCCTGAGTGTGTGAAGTTAGAAATGAGCCAACGCGCTTTTCAGCGTGAGGGCCAGGTGCGCAGCAGTCCCGAGCAGCCTGGACACTTGGGGGAGTCGCCGCTGTGCCGGGGATGCTGTCTGCCCAGCCAGTGTCTCGCGGGGCTGGCTTCAGTCACAGCATGTGTCACCGGGATGGTAAGAAATTAAAGATGGACCTGGGTTACTCATGATTGCGTATTTCCTCCGGATTTATTTTTCTTGGCTTCGTTGCCAAGAAAAAAAAAATCTTTATGTTATTTATAGTCCCAGCTTCCAGCGCAATTTGGACTGAACAGTAAAATGAAAGCTGTGTTGTTTCCCACTTGGAGTCCTTATGTCTCCTTTTAGGTTTTGCATGTATGTCTTACATGAGAGATAGCAAGATCTTACACCTGCTGGCTCACTCCGCGAATGTCCCGGAGGCCCAGGCTGCGCCAGGGGCAGCCAAGTCTCCTTAGCAGGTGCAGGGATCAGCACCACTCCGCGAATGTCCCCGGGAGCCCAGCCTGTGCCAGGTGCAGCCAAGTCTGCTTAGCAGGTGCAGGGATCAGCCCACCTGCGACTGCCCAGGCGCGTGAGCAGGACATGGAGCTGGAAGTGGAGCTGGGAACCGGGCCAGGCATGCAATAGGGGGACCCCCTTACCCCTACCCGCCGGAGGCATCTTAACCGCTGTGCCAACACTCAGCCCAGCTACTTACACGCAGCTCTGAATTCGTGAAAACAAAATTAAACAGAGAAGTCAGCCGCACCGTGGCAGCTGCTCAGTGAGTGACCCCGGGTTGGGGGTGGGCTGTGGCAGTGGGGACCTCGGTGCCCACTCCATGAGTGTAGGAATTTCTCCTGGACAGCAATTGTGGAAGGGGTTAAAATGCAGTGGCAGCAGCTCAGGTCAGCATCTCGTGTGATTCCCAGCTGGTCTACTTCAGCCCTGGCTCGCTGCTGGTGCCCTGGGAAGGCAGTGCAGGATGGTCCAAGTGCTCGGACCCCTCCCTGCACCCAGACCGACATGGCACTGGCTGCTGTCTCTGGCCTGGCCCAGCCATGAACTGTTGTAGCCGTTTGGGGAAGGAACCAGTGGACGGAAAATTCTCCTTCCCTCCATCTCTCTCTGTGATTACTTTTCAAATAAACAAAATCTGTCTTAAAAGGATTAAAATGTATGGTGTAATTAGAGAAAACCCATGAATATAAGTTAAAGCAAATGTGACAAATGAAAATATTTGAAGTATTTCTACTCTAAAATGCCCCAGTTTGTTATGTTGGGAAGGCAAAGTGTAAATTCAGACTTGTAAGTAGAAAACTTAAAATCTGAAGCATTCCTGTAAAATGTGAGAAGCAGACAGCCAAGAGACCGAGGACTCTCCCACCTGCTGGTGCGTGGCCCGCAGGCCCGCAGTAGCTGGGGCTGGGCCAAGTCACGCCTGCTGGATCTCCCACGTGGGCACAGGGCCCAAGCACTTGGGCCATCCTCTGCCACTTTGCCAGGTGCACAAGCAGGGAGCTGGATGCCCGTGGGTTTCCTGTTTCGCACCAGGGTGGGAGAGGATTGAGGTTAGAGGTGTGTTCACCACTCCTACCCTGGACACCTATGTGCACCTGCAGCTGTTCTTGGTCCAGACAGTCATGGCAGAGATGGGTCAGGTCCCAACCTTGGTGTGAGCTCACAAGGCTGCCAGGCCCTTGCCCTGGGCTCCTGTGGCTTGCAGTCGGGGGTAGGGATGGGGTCCGAGTGCCTGCCCTTCCGTTGGCCTGGCTGGCAGGGACGTGTGGAAGGGCCCCTGCCCCGGGAGCTGTCCGTTCAGCACCCTCAGGTCTGGCTGGTGGCTCGCATCCTTGCCTGCACAGCTGAGCTTTGGGCACAGGTGCGGGGGGAAGAGGAGAAAGTGAGATTGTCTGGAAAGTTCCCTGCAGCGTCATCAGGGTGCTGAGGATCTAGCTGCAGCCCCAGGCCTGCAGAAGGAATGGATGGGGCTCACCTCACAGCCACACAGGGAGCTGCCGGGAGCTGGCAGCTGCCCCTGATGCGGGGGGCAGGGGAGGGGGGCATCTGCTATTGGTGTCCAGAGCTGAGAAGTGCAGAAGTGCCCAGGTTCTGGTCCGGCTGGGTCCAGGGGCTCTGGGCTTTGCTCCCTGCAGGGGCTCTGTGTTCTGGCTTGGTGAACTTTCTCTGTAGGATCGGCACAGTCCGGGAGCCAGGTCTGGTCTGCACTGTGTGTCTGCCCTTGAACACGATCAAATGCCCTGCCCTTCCGCCTCGCAGACTGGGACGTGGGTATGGATGAGGCAGGGAGGGCAGTGGTGCCTGAGGTTCAGGTGCTTGGACCAGTCCCTACTGCCTGCAAGGAGCCTTAGCAGGGAGCTGGAGCTGATGTGGAACAGCCGGGACTTGAACCGGCACGCCAGTGTTGGGATGCAAGCATCGCGAGAGGCGGCTTCACTGACTGCACTCCAACTCTGGCTGCTTCCCGCTGTGCCCGCCAACCCCGTGTAAACTGCTGGTCATGTTGAACGTGGAGAGAACGGTGTGGCGAGCCCCTGATGCCCACTGCATGCGCTGCTCCGTTCCCAGGCTCCGTTGTGGCGTTTTTAGTTTCGTTTGAGCGGCAGAGAGAGATCCCACCTTGAGTCCTTTGTGGCTGGCAGGGACTCAAGTGCCTGAGCTGCCCGTCATCTGATGCC